GCAAAGGGAGATTCAGAGGCGTGTTCACATCCTGCACTATTAAACATGCATGGGGAGGTTCATGGGTGCATTCATATCTAGCAGTACTCAAGGGGGATCCCCCTTGTGTATGTAAATTTCCTGTAATACACAAAGGGGAGATTCCTGTGTGTGTTCACATCCTGCACTGAACATGCATGGGGAGATTCATGGTTGCGTTCATATCTAGCAGTACTCAAGGGGGAATCCCCTTATGTATGTAAATTTCCTGTAATACACAAAGGGGAGATTCCTGTGTGTGTTCACATCCTGCACTGAACATGCATGGGACGATTCATGGGTGCGTTCATATCGATCTAGCAGTACTAGAGTCAAGGGGGAACCCTCATAAGTATAGAATTTCCTGTAATTTACACAAAGGGGAGATTCCTGTGTGTATGTTCACATCCTGCATTGGACAAGGGGGGACATCTGGGTGCGTTCTGTATTGCTATATTGTACGTACATTCACTTCCTCCAGGACACAAAAGGACATTCCCCGATGTTCACATCCTGCAATCATCGATGGGGAGATCCCAGAGTGTGTTCATATTGTCATGTTCACATGTACACAAAAGAAGATTGCTGGTTGTGTTCGTGTACCCCTTTAATAATAGGCATTCAAAAATTCAATTTTTAATTTTGTAATTATTTATTTGTTTCATACATGACATACTGATAACAATTTCTTTTTACCCCTGTTACAATGTATCCCGTAGAAGTAAGTCCTACAGGTGCGCCTTCATGCTTGTGAATTTAAACGTGATTCAAATGACGTCACAAGACGTGTCTTTGACATTTACAGCATTGTAGCTCCTACAAATCACCACACTGGACTAACTGATAGCATTCTTACTACAAGTACAAGAGGAAATTCCTGTTTACACTTTCCTTACTATATGTGGTTTAAATGACGTATTACATGACGCTTTGACTTGTATCATCACCTAACGATTGATAGACAACTAATGACACTCAGTACCTCTACATGTGGATAGTGTAGATTCCTCCCCTACCTATAGACTTGTGTTTATACTCACTAATCCTATATGTTTTGATTAACGTTTTGCAACTAATTACCAGTTAGTGGACCAAATGCCATCTTTAAATGATGTATTACATAACACTTTGACTTGTATAATCATCTAACTATTGATGGACTACTATGACATGGTATACCTCTACACGTGGATAGTGTAGATTCCTCCCCTACCTATAGACTTGTGTTTATACTCACTAATCCTAAATGTTTTGATTAACGTTTTGCAACTAATTACCATGTAGTGGACCAAATGCCATCTTTAAATGATGTATTACATGATGCTTTGACTTGTATCTCTTCCTTGTGGAACGATAACTAATGCGCTATAAAAGAACGAACTATTATTATTACTGTATGTACCTCTATATGTGGATGGTGTAGATTCCTCCCCTACCTACAGACTTGTGTTTATACCGACTAATCCTATACAGTATATCCGTTTTGCAACTAATCACCACGAAATGGACCAACTACAATCCTGGACACTATTACTTCCTCCATGACATGTGAATATCCCTATCATTTCCTGTAATCACTTTGGTGTAGGTAGAAAATTAGACGATTTACCATGCAAGAATCCGGTATGACCAAAAGGGGAAATCCCAATTCATGACAATGTATACATATGTACATTTCATGTGGTTTGAGTGACATATCACATGTCGTAACAATTTAGTACTCTATGCCTGCAAACGAAGCATCAATTATCACACAAATGTAATACACATTTCCTTCAACATCATTAAGATATTTCATGTCTTCCCTAAAGTTAAATTGTACATACATAGCAATTACAAGTATTAAGGTCTAATGGATGAGGCAACAAATTGCAAGGTTTGGGGTTCAATCCCTACAACACACTAGTGTCCTTTGGCAAATCCTTTTTTATTTTTGCCAGACATGACCTAGGTGATATAAATGGGAAGCGGTAGGAAGATGCTCATTGGGTGTCATGGGGCCTATATGTATTAAAAGGCATGCCCGTACAAACCAGATATCTAAGAGAAACTACATATTAGACACTATTTTTCATATTGATGATATTATTGTATTGGAGGACCCCCAATTGTCCACAATGAAAAACTACAATCACAAATGGATCATTAGAGGAAAGAGACGAGGTAGGGGAGTTTATTATTAAACATTCAACGATAAAGGAATATAGAGGAAGAATTCAATGCAGCATCGAGTCATTGGCTTCAATCTATTACACAACAACACCTGATGAAGGGCTAACATTACAAAAATGGCAATAAACCTACTTCTCCAAATAAGCATTAAATCTAGAATCAAGGCAGGATGAGCTAACCCACTTTGTGGCCAAGTTGGAGACCAATTTCTATATCAGGATCCAGAATGTGTTATTTATATGGAGCGCTATTTATAAATCTATCAGGAACTCTTCCTGCATGGTGCTATTCATGCACACACTGCAGGCCAGGCAGACCTGCAGATTTACACATCATCATCATCGCCATATGGTGTTTGGTTTGTTACGCCTACGACAATCATCAGCATCCCCGCCTCCTCAGAAAAGAAGGCCTGCTTCTAAATTGTGCAAAGCTTTTAATGCAATTTTGAATGGAATTTGCCTGGCAAGCAATGACATTATTGGTATGAGCAGGGTTATACAGCTCAGAATTAATGAGCTCATAACATGCAATATAACAAGATTTCCATGGTATGAAACCACCCCCCCCCCCTACCCCCCCCCCCCCCCAATATCCTAGAGATACCTGAATTTGGATATCCTCAAACAAATAAGTGATTTTAAATTCATAGTAATTCACATGGAAAAGCACATTATTTCTTAATGTTTTAATAAACAGCACATGTATTTATCTATACAATTAATACAATTTACTATCAAATTTTCCATATTCATCTTATGAGAATAAATAAGAACAAGCCATATTCAAATTCAGGGCTATCAAGAACATGATTTTTTGAGAAACTTTCTTCAAGGTGTTTAGTGCTCACAAGTTTACAATCCATAGATGGAACTTTTTTGTTTTCTTCCATTTTTTTCTTCTTCTTGATCCCAATCTATATTTCCTTGTTTTACGAAGGGGGGGGGGGGGGGGGGAGGGGCATTTTGGTAGAAATAGCAAGTATGTCACCACTTTCTGTAAATAAAGCATGGTCAAGCTAATCACTGGCTCTGCACATTAATTGATTCCCGTACCAGCCATGTAGTAATCAATCCACGAATCAGCCCTCACCCTTCTGAACGCATCATGAATACGCCTCTATGCGACAACCCTTTGGCTCTATTTATAAAGCAGCTAGTAACACATTTAGGGTGTTGCTTCAGCACCTGTCTCAGGCTGGCTGCGTGGGAATTAAAGAGAAGATTCAACCAACGCTGGCTAGAAACCTTAATGTGTGAGCTAAATCACTTTCAACTACACAATTACAATGTACATGAGGCCTGTCTTCATCAACTTGAGATTGCCAAATAACCCACTATTTTAAGTATCCTGATAAAGTAGCCAGCTAATTTGCGTCTTCATCAGCCCTCAGTTGCAATTAGCGAGATATTTGGTCAAGAAAATATCTAGAGAAATCTTTCCAAAATATCCCGCCTTTGGGGAAATAGCGGGCTAATTTGTAATGAGCGTATCGGTCTGGTGAAGACGGAATTTCAAGTTTTGATTCATCTAGGGGCACTCAAAATGAAAAAGAACCAAATGGCTCACAAAATATAGAAATTAATTAATTAAACAACTGTTGGAGTATATATTTTCGAGGGATCTTTGATAGGTGGCAAAACTAATTATATCCCTGATACAAACTGGGACATTGTTCCATTAGTCAAGTGATGTGTTACTTCTGTAGATCTCTATCAAATTGGCAACGCAGACGATATGATTACTCTGTTTAGCTTGATGTATCGGAGGACCCTAGCCCGAGGGAAAAAGGTACAGAGCCCCCGAAGCGGAAGTAACAATTACACATCGATGCAGAAAACATGTGTGCAAACCAGTAATGTGTCAACTTGAATCTGCTTGGAGAAATTCATAGCCGGGATTTGCAGAGGAATGGATTTGACATCAGTGCTCTTTAGGGGGTGTAGTTTATCAGGAGGGGGTGTTCCCCCTTTGAAATATGCATGTAGGTCATTCTTCTGCTGGTTTCCTATGCAATATTGTACAATATTGTACAGTACAGTGGAAAAAATACATGGGCGCTTGTGTGACTTCGCCCCCGAAATGCCAAAAAGAGCCCCCAAAAGTCATTAAAAAGGCCCCAAAAAATTTGAATAGAGTTTAATGCAAAACAAATTACATAGTGATTATTTCCCTGATGTTGTAATTATTTTCATTCCCTTTCCCATTTTTTTCCTTCTCTAATATCAATTCTTCAAGGTTCTCTTTCGTTTGTAAGTTACATAAAGACACCACATCTATTTTTGTGCTCCTATCTCTTTTTAGATGTTGATTATTTCAAACTTAAAATAGCACTGCTGAAGTCTCGACTATTACCTTTTTCATAACCCCAAGTGCACATATTTGCAGGTTTCTAGAAGCATTATAGGAGTTTCGGAATGGAACCACATCAAAAAATGTATATTATTCTGGTCCCGTTATTTCAACATGCCGCATCGTCCTGAAACCAGGAGTTTATACACAAGACAAGTAACGTAGTTGTGTAGGTATACCCTACATTACCGTATACCCTTTTTGGACATTATTTTATATGCTCTTTCGGAAAATGAAGAAAAATTGAGAAATTCTAAAAACAGATTTGTTGATGATGTCACACTTCACCACTCTATATACTTTTGTTTAATATGTAATATACTCAAAACAATATGGCATCCCTGTGTTTTTATTCATGCCAAATAAAGTGTTTTTTCATGCTATTTCAGTGTTTTAGGGATTTGAGAAAGGGGTATATACTTGAATCACTACTGTAAGTAGGTTGGAAGGGTACTTACGATGTTACGCCATTCTTCATGGCCCTCATCTTGAGTTTGTTGGCCTTGTTGAGTTTGGCCTGGTACTGCTTGCCCCGGAACAACCTGTTTGTGCCTGGCCTGCCAGGACCCCTCCGCCCCATACCGGGCATCTTGCCCGTCCTGCATGGCTTACACCGCCAACAACCTGCCAATCATTGAAGACAGGATGAGATTGGGGAGGGGGGTGGGGTGGGGGTGGGGATAGGGAGGGGGAGGGAGGGGGTAGGGAGGGGGTAGGGAGGGGGTAGGGAGGGGGGTAGGGAGGGGGTAGGGAGGGGGAGGGAGGGGAGGGAGGGGTAGGGGTGGAGAGGGAGGGAGTGGAGGGAAGGGAAGATGATGTAAAGGAAGAGGGGGTGGAGGAAGAGGAGGTGAACAGAGAGAGAGAGAGAAGAGGTGAAGAGTGAAATAGAGAGAGAGAGAGAGAAATAGAGAGAGCGAGAAAGAAAGAGAGAGAGAGAGAGGAAAGGGAGAAGAGACAGATCAAATGGAGGGAAGGAATGGAGGGGGAGATGGTGGAGGGGAAAGTAGGGGAGTAGGACGGGGAAGGGGTGTGGCATAAAAGAACAAACAAAATGAGACTTGAACAGCTGTGCATAACATATTATTGCATTATTTGACAGGCTATGATGCACATTATTGCAACCTCATTTAGGCTACAAAAGTGCCTTAGCGGAGTTTAATTCTCGCTATCGCCACTACTGTATTCGACCGTAGAAGGCAGCACTGGCCATGGCTATACATGTATGTGGCAAGGAACACCTTTACAGAACTTCTTCAGGCAGGCAATTCTGTTTCGAAAAGCTTTATGAAACACTGAATTTTGCAATAAATGAAACTCTTTGGAAATATGCCGTAATAAGAAATGGTGGAAAAAGATCATTGCACTGCTTTGGTGCACTGAAGACATGAGACTCTGCAACTTGGGCAACAAGGACACCATTCCCTGCCCCCGCTTAAATCCAGTTGTGACTCATTGGTTTCAATCACAATTCTGTTCTGAAGAGATGGAAGTTTAATTGTCTGTTTGCGATTGATTGGATGACTTGCGATCAATTTGCACCAATTTTAGGATCAATCGCAAGATGGGGCCTGCGACAAAGTTGTAGCAGAAAGTAGGTGTGGTAGCAAGTGTGGTAGCAAGTGTGGTAGCAAGTGTGGTAGCAAGTATACAAACCTTTGGGGATGCGTTTCAAGGGTGGCTTCAGGCAACTCGCGTGGTACCCTTGATTGCAGGCATCGCACACAAGTAATTCCTGTAAAAAAGAAATAGAGACGATCATTAATTAAAGACCACAATATTTCTTTGGGTCTGTCATAACGTATTTGAATAGTTGCAAAATTAAATTTGACAACTTTCTATGTACATGTAGGTGGTACATAATTCTAGACTGATTGAGTTCTGTAGGTCTCAAAGAAAGTTGCTTAACACTGCTTTACTTTGCTTATTTTTATTTCCCCTACTAAACCAATAGAGGTACTTTGGGGTACGAATAAAAGATTACATTGTTTGGAACATGCAACCAAGATTACTAAAAAAATAGGGTCCTCATTAGTATTATAAAACATTTGAAAAAACAAAAAAACTTAGTGTTCACAGGAACAGGAGTTCTCTTCGAATTTGGTGTCTACAAAGTAAGCTTTTTAATTAAATGTTGTTCATTATTTTTTTTCATAGCTATTTGTGAGATCACCAACATTCTTGAAGCTTTAAAGATCTAAATTACTCACTACTCCATGTACCTTTTTTCATTGCCCCCTCCCCCCCCCCCCCCAAAAAAGATCTGTTTCATTAAACTTGTTATCAGTAACAAGTAACAATAACTGTTGTAAGCTACTGAAATTACACTGTAAGGCATTGATTGACTGAGAGCAAATTTTTCATTGAAATTCAGCACTAGTTATTGATGATAAGTTTATGAAACACCCTGTAGTACCCTGTGAGGTGACTTACCTTGGTACCCCCTTGACTGCAGATTGCACATGTTTTACACTCGGCACACTGCCATCGACTGAGCCGAATGCGCTCCTTCAGAGCTGATGAATACTTAAGACATGAAGGGTGAGCTGGAATCATGGAAGAAACAAATTCAAACAAAAGTAATGATTATTATTATAATTATTATTATCTACTTACATTGTAAACCACACTTTTCCCATAAGGCCCAAAGCACTTTATACAGTCAATTAAAATTAAAAATTAAAAATACATGTACCGGTAATAAGAAAACATTTACAACTACAAACTGCAAAAAAAGGTGTTTTAAGGCCTTTCTAAAGGTAGTAAATGATGGAGACTGCCTAAAGGAGATACAGCTTCTATCATTTGTTTCATGTCGCAGTATACTATTTTTGCCTGCCACTCTTAGCACTTTTAAGGATAAAAGGGCGTACTTGGGTTACTTCAACCTATAAGATATGATCTTATTTTTGGTACAAGACATCTTTTCAAATTTCTATATACCCCAATCTCAGTTATCTTATGCTTCGTAATCAATAGGTTAATGTTAATTCATGCCAATAGCTTTAACCAAGGTATATGTCAGTTATTGACAGCTAAATTGTTTACATGAGCACCCAAGTTTTTTTTTATCAGTTTTCAAATTTCCTTTACAAGAATTCTTCATAGCTTTTCATACTCTCAGCTTCCACTTTTACTCTCTTTTCTTTTTTCCTTTCTGTGTTCATTTATTTTGGGGGTGTTGCCTTCAAATAATCTTTATTTTTGAGGGTGGGTGTTGCTATGTCAGACAAAACATTATTGATTCACCATTTGGGCCACTAACAAATCAATAAATCCCAGCACTACAAGTTTTTAACCCATGAGACTGAATATCCATTAATCTTCATTAAAAATTGTTATCATTAGAAGTCCAAAAGTCGATAAAATTGTGTGAAGATAGTTTCACACATTGACAGATAATTATACTTGCTTGCTAAATGTATAAACAAACTTTACCAACATCATACTTTGCATACAGGTAAATATGAACTTTGGTTAATATACATAACCCTTCCATCGACAAAAAGAAATGATGCAAGACTTGTCTAAAGTCTGAGAAAATCACAGCCACTATTCAGGGATGTCACATGTACATGTACCAACATGAAATATGTTATCCCTTCTTTTGTTGTTACCATGCTGACTCATTGTGAGAGGCGAAGTAAGAAAATATTCAAATAGATGACTACGGTAAAAAGTGTATAAGCCTGGGGGCCGAAGTACAACTTCAATGTACAGTACACTGGAATCATGTCAATTTTCTCTATATTCTTTCTTTAAAAAAACTTTGAATTCCATAGTTTAACACCCTCTTGTATTTCTCTTTAATCTCCCTTCTCTCCTTTCTCTCATCACTCTTTCTCCATCTCTCTGTCATCTCCCTCTACACACACACATTCTCTCTTTCTCTCTCACTCTCTCTTTCTCTCACTCTCTTTCTCTCTCTCTCTCTTTCTCTCTCTTTCTCTCTCTCTCTCACTCTATTTCTTTTTCCCTCCCATATCTCTCTCTCTCTCTTCTTTTAGCACAGAAGTCTCATGACCTGTTGCTATGGGCATTGTGTACACAAATGAACAAGAATCCATAGATAATCACTTCATGGCATGACATGGTGTGTAGTGTATGCCATAGACAGTGTACACGTATACATTGTTTTTATTCGTTATTATCATCTGTTTTCAGTTTGAAACTGCTTTCTGCTTGTAGCTGTTTTCTGTTTGAAACATTTCACTACCCTTTTCTTCCTAATTCTGTTCTCATTCTACACTCCTTTTTTTCTTACAATTTTTTTTTTTAATTTGAACTCTAAATTTGTCAACACTCTCTGCTGGTCTGAGAGTGAGACTAAAATGTGAATTGGTCCTGTAGTATTATATGCTTTTCACACTGGCAATATTTTCCTTAACCCCGTACTATAGGTGGGGTTAAGGGGGGGTCGTAACCCCACCTATAGTACGGGGTTAAGCCTATTCCACTTTCTGTTCACACTGGCTTTTACCAAAGTGGGCTAAAGTTGGCTAACCCCACCTATAGTACGGGGTTAACTAACCCTGCAAAATAGCAGGGCTAACTCCGCAATTGTGGTGCTAACTCCTGCTAACCCCGCAATTGCGGTGCTAAGCAAACGAATGAGAACAGAAACGAAAAATAGTCCGGTACTACGCAATGGAGCGTATCGCAGCTGGCCAGATGCGAAGTATGTCCCATCATAACATACACGATATCCGGGGTTAACGAAATGCAGTGAGAACAGCGGGAATTTTCTTATTCCGGAATAGGCGCTAGTACGGGACTAAAAACAGCGAGTGTGAAAAGCCAAAAAAATAGTCCGGGGTTAAGGATAGTACGGGGCTAAGCAAAGTACGGGGTTAAGCAAAACCAGTGTGAAAAGAGTATGACACTCAAATAAACTTCTCAAGCTCTAAATGTGTCAACACTCTCTGCTTGAGTGCAAATGTGACTACAGTGTGAACTAGCCCTGTAGAGTTGACACAACTACAATTCTGCTTGAAGGTCCTATGATATTACACTTAAACAAACTTCTGCTTGATCACTAAATGCATCAACACTCACAACTTGATTGAGAGTGGGACCAGAGTCTGAACTGGTCCTACTATGATATTTACACTTAAAACAAACTTCTGCTCGATCTCTAAGACCCCGTTCTCACTCACTTTGTTGGAGCGCTCTGGAGCGCTCTAACTAAGACCCGTTCCTCAGGAGCGGTTCTTAGGTGAGTGAGAACGCTCAAAGTGGTCCAGGAAGCGGACTTCTGGACCGCTCCAGAAGTCCACCTTCCGAGGTGGTCTTGAGGAGCGGGTCTTATTAAGAGTGCTCCAGAGCGCTCTAACGTGCAATGTGAACGGAAAGCGTACTTTGAACGGAAGTGATGTTCCGCGCGAAAGCAACAACAAAAAACAGATGAGCGATCGGGCAGGCACTACACATATACATGTATACGGGACGCGTCGCGAACGGGACATCAGGTGACATAGGGTTTGGATTCCGCGCGCGAAAAAAATGACCCCTTTGACTCGTGGAGCGGTTTGAGCAATAAAAACTGCTCGGAGTGTGAACGCTCGCAAACCGTTCCTCAAGACCCGCTCCTTTGGAGCGGTCTGGAGCGGTCTAACTAAGACCACTTTCAAAGTGAGTGAGAACGGGGTCTAAATGCATCAACACTCTCAACGTGATTGAGAGTGGGACTAGAGTCTGAACTGGTCCTATGATATTACACCTAAACAAACTCCTGCTCGATCTCTAAATGCATCAACACTCTCAACGTCATTGAGAGTGGGACTAGAGTCTGAACTGGTCCTATGATATTACACTTAAACAAACTTGTGCTCGATCTCTAAATGTGTCACCACTCTCTTGCATGACTGAGAGAGGGGAAAAGAGTATGAACTGGTCTTGTGGAATCACACTCAAATAAACTTCGCCTTGGAAGGTCACAGTCTAGACTACACTATGACAGAGTGATTCTGTCCTCATAGCCTACTTAGTATTGCTGGCTTTTACACCTACTGTCCCACAAGGTAGTTTGAGCCAGAGGCCATGTTCATCTACAATAATAAAATATCTACATATTGTACATGTAGGCCCGTTATTATTAGCTCGAGTTTGGCAAATAACCTGCTATGTTCATACTCAGGATATTATCCCGAAGCTCGAAATTGCATCTTCACCAGACCGATACACTCATCACAAACTAGTTCGGATGGGTGCAAATTAGCCCACTATTTCCCAAATTTCGGGATATTTTGGAAACAAGACCAAGATTTCTCTGGATATTTTCTCAACCAAATATCCCCCTAATTGCAACTGCGGGCTGATGAGGACGAAATTAGCTGGCTTTGACATTGACTGTCCCACAACTGAGGCCATGTTCACCTTTAAAAGAAGCACATTTGAATTTTTCCATATTTATAGCCTACATTATTTTTTAATCTGGCTTTTACACTGACAGTGACAGTCCCACAAGGTGGTTTGAGGCCTTGTTCATATGTCAGGGTTAATCCTCCTAAAAAATATGTATTGAATATCAACTGAAACAGGTAGGCAAGTACTGAGGTATAATGTAAGGCTGTTTAGGTAATTTAGCTGAAATGTTTCCCAGCAAAGGGACTTGTCAGTTCTATTTCAGTAATCGCAGTTTACCATTTCTACAAGGAAGTCTCAGGTCCTTTTCACATGACATAATTAACCAACCCATTTATATGTATGGCCGGTATGAATTGTGAAACTTCATTGGTGGGACTTTTCTGATCTAGTGGAGCTCGGTAGCTTGTGGTTTGGTCACCACAGACAATCTGTACTAGACCAATATCACTGCCACAGAGAGGGAAAAAAAGATACAATTTTTTTTAATTACATGTACAATATAAGATCTATGGGTCAAGCTAGCATTGCGACACACTACAACTAAACTATAGGAAAGTGTTGACAAGCAATCAGTTTAATTAGAAGTGTGTGGCTCTATTTGATCTATTATTGATTAGTTTGTCCTCGATTCTACACCTGCATGTACATTGGTTTATCTTGTTATAGTCAACAAGGACTTGATAATACAGCCAGTCACCTCCAGTATCCAGCTCATTAACTGCCCTGTATGTCGGGTAGTGCTGCATTCATAAGAACTTTTTGAAGCAACAATCACAATTATGAAACACCACTTAAAGGTTGGGTGACGTCCACATACGGTATAAGTTGATTCCTGTTGATGTGCAGGGCTGCATACAACTCATTTTTTGTTACTCAAAGTTTCAAACATCTAAATATATTTCATACATTTTTTAATATTTTTAAAAACAATTTTCTCAGACCTGCTTTAAAGCTCCACCCTAAAAAATGCTCCACATCTCATTTATCTGGTGACATCATCTGTCAATCATTAGTGAGCTAATAAGTGACAATGGTAAACTTCCCCGAGCTCAGCACATACCGGTACTCACCTACTCGCATTCTTTCATACAATACCTACACATTACCTTTCTTTTCCTGGTGATGCTACAACATGTCTGACATATTAATAAAATACTAACATACATGTAGGAGCTCCTATGTTAGTAAATGGTCTATTGTAAGCA